CAACAAGAGATACAAGTACATTAACATCATCGCTCCGCTCATATCTACATATAAGAAAAGCGGTAAAAAGGGTGCAGGTATTGGCAATATACCATCCGCCATGAAATTAAATGACAACAAGAGCGATTACGTGCATTGGGATGATCTTAACGAGCTGATGGATCGACTCCGATTACTCGATGCTTCGCATTGAGCTGGTAACAACGCTCACGACAACGAGATGCTGTTGATCATCGAAGAACTTCGCGAAGCCGGCATTATTATAAATTAATCGCGTATCGACGAAACGAGCCAGTCGATTGACGTCAGTGAGGAAAAAACAATTTTAAATCGTATATCTTATTTACTATTAAACATCGTCGAAACATGAGATCTAATGGACGTGAAAAAAATGTTAGCTCCGAGAGGTGACTCGTTGAGGAATTGCACGCTCCGGCAAGGAACAATTTTCCGCGAAGACGTGTCATAATTCGGGGATTTCGATGATCTATGGCAGGCTGATATCGTCGAGATATGCGTCCGTATTCAAGTTTCAACAGAGGTCATCATTACATACTCACCGTCATCGATGCGTTGAGCAAATACGCCTGGGCCATACCGCTCAAGAGCAAGGAAGCGAGACGACTAACTAAGATAATTCAAGAGAGTGAAAGATGCCCGAGAAACTTGCAAACGGATATGGGAAAGGAGTTTTACAACGCCGATGTGCAGAAACTCTTGAAAAAACACAACGTTAATCATTATTCCACGTATACGCTGCTGAAGGCATCGATCGTCGAGCGATTCAGTCGCACGCTTAAGAACGACATGTAGAAGATGTTTAGGCTCAACGTCACTTACAAGTGGATCGACCGCATCTCGCGTATCAGATTACAACGCGCGCAAACATCGGCATGCGACTCGCTGACGTAACTCCCGCGATCGCCAAAAAAACTTTTGGAGACGGTGTACAGCGTGATAAAGATCGCAGGTCCAGCAAAATTCAAAGTAGGCGATTCGATACGCGTGAGCAAGTACAAGACAGTTTTCGAAAAAGGTTGCGCATCGAATTGGACCACCAAGATATTTAAGATCGTTAAAGTGCAGCATATTAATCTTGTAACCTATGTGCTCGAGGACTATCGCGGAAAAGTCATTGCTTTCTACGATCACGAATTGCATCGCGCGACTCATCCGGACGTGTATCTCGTGGAGAAAATACTGCGCAGGAAAGGAGACGAGGTTTACGTCAAGTGGTTGGAATTCGATGGATCGCACAATTCTTGGATAAAAGCAGTGTGATTCATTTTTTTATTTTTACAATTAAAAATAAATATACAATGTATAAATGTATACAATCTTATTCCTTTCCTTCAATTACATCTTCGTAAAGTATAAAAAGCTACACGTGTAAATATAAAAAATTATTAAACGTATAAAAAAATGTACAATACAAGTACAATACGTGTACAAAAAATATAATATAAAAAAATGTATAAAAGTACAAGAAATACGTACATACATACATACATACATACGTACATATATACATACATATATACATACATACATATATACATACATATATACATATATACATACGTACATACGTACATACGTACATACGTACATACATACATACATACATACATACATACGTACGTACGTATATACATATATACATACGTATATACGTACATATATGCATAATATGTGCATATATGTAAATTACATATTGTCACACTCGCGGCGGTTTTACTTGCGTCACTCTCACGCAAGGAAAGGAAGAGACGGTTAGAAAAGAAATACACTTTATTAAACACTAAGCACAGAAGCGATAACAAGAGCTTTTCACAGTTTAATAATAATTCGCGACACAGCTCAAACTCGCGCGCCGCGCCGAATACTTTCTCGCTCAAATAAAAAGGGAGAGTGTGCGTCACGGCGGGGCTCGACCACGAACCAGTCATGAAAACTCGTAATTATTTTGCGAAAAAAATACCACCTCAGCCAGGAATTGAACCTCGATCTCCTGCTTACCGGGCAGGCATCTTATTCCTTCGACTACCTTCGAGGCATGTGATGATATTTATCGCAAATAATGTGTTTAGAATAACACGTCAACAATATAATGATACACATATATATGTATATTACAATATACATATATACATGTATTCTCTCGAATCCCCACGACCGGTACTCCAAAGAGATGATGGTCTTATTCTCTTGATGGATGCAGGTCGGACTGCAGCGGCGACACCTTCCAACGCCATTGGTAAATATACAAATAATCCTCCTAGAGCACGACAGGAGAGATTGCAGAGATCAAGCATGGCTCAAGCCCCCGAATAAGAAGGGAGGGTGCGTCACGGCGAGGCCCGACTACGAACCAGTCGTGAAAACTCGTAATTATTTTCGCGTAAACTCGTAATTATTCGCGCGACGACTTTCTCGCCAAAACAACGCTTGACAACCACTTGACAGTATCGGCAAGGAACGATCTTCAGGCTGGAAATGTATGAGAGTAGCGTCGAGCACCGTTTGATCGTAACACTATTAAGAATTCTCGTCCATATAAATAGTGATGAAAACTTTTCAAAGAGTCAACTATTGCTAACAACTCTCTTCAAGTTACACAATAATTTCTTTCGGTTTTACTTAAAACCCTACTAAAATAAGCAAACTCTCTCCTTTCCTTCTTGAATCTGGAATAAAACAGCACCAATGCCATGATTCAGTATCCAAAATGAATTTCCCTGTCTCAACTGGAAAAGATAAGACGTGGGAAGAAATCAAACATTGCTTAAGCTTTACAAATGCCTCCTGACAATGTTCATCCCAAACAAACCTACACTATTTCTCTGTCAAGGAAAATAGGGATTTTGCAATTTGCGAAAATCCTCTAACAAATTTCTTATAATAGGAACATAACCCTAAGAAACTACGAACTTGCTTCTTATTCCGCGGAACAGGCCATTCCTGTACGTTATCTTTTCAGAGTCAGTAGAGATTCCTTCTTCCGAGACTTCATGTCTTAAATATTTAACTTTTCTTCCAAACAGGGAATATTTCTTTGGATTTATTTTTAAATTTGCTGCCCTGAGACGAAGAAAAATTCCCCGTAAATTAGCCAACATCTCTTCAAAGATTTTACTGAAAATTACAACATCATCTAAATAAATCAGATTTTGTTTAATATCTGATGAAGAATTCTTTTCATTAACCTCTCAAAAGTCGCCGAGGTATTACATAATCCAAATGGCAATCACAGTAAATTGCCACAAACCGTTACCTATTGAGACGTAATGCCGTTTTTTTCTTATCTTCTGGATGAAGCTTCACCTGCAGTATTCACTTTTCAAATCCAACATGGAAAACCAAGAATTTCCTGATAATCGATCAAGAAGATCATCAATTCTTGGTAATGGGTAACAATTCTTCTCAGTAATTGCATTGAGCTTTCTGTAATTCACACAGAACCTCAATGTCCCGTCCTTCTTCTTCATCATAACCGCAGGTGAAATCCAAGGACTGTGGGATTTTTTAATTACCCCTTGCTGTTTCATCTCTTCAAGAATTTTTTTCACCTCATCTCGCATCTGTAAGGGAATACGAGAATCTAAGAATCTGCTTAATACTTGATTTTTCTATAGAAATTGAGTGATCTATTACCGAACAATTTCCCGTTACAATATTTTCCGAAAAGATATCTTGAAACTCTTTGAGAAATTCAGAAAAACTTTTCTTTTGCAAATCATTTAACTCTTCCGAATTCCTATTGAAGAAATTCAATAAAAATTCAGGAATTTTCCTTTCTGGGAGACTAATACGAAAATAAA